GAGGGGTAGGCGAGGGAGGGGGACTGGACAAGCTAGGTGCGCTCGCGTCACCTCCCATCCCTTACCATGGCGTAGATCTCCCCTCTATTCGCGCAGTCGGATGTCGCAGCATGGCATAGCATTACATGGCATAGCATGGTGCTGAAGATCAACGCGTAGCCTGACATAGCATGGCGTGGCGACGCCCCAAAGTGGGGGCGGGGCCTACTTGGAAGGACCGAGAGCCATGCCGTGGCATGGCACTGGAGGTTAGGACGCCGGCGCCGCAGCGGGAGGAGGGAGGGGGGGACCGAGGAGGAGGGAGGAGGAGGAGGAGGAGGAGGAGGAGGAGGAGGAGGAGGAGGAGGAGGAGGAGGAAGAGGAGAAAGAGGAGGAAGAGGAGGAGGAGGATTCGGAACGAGCGGAAGCGCTGAAATTGACGCCAGCGTTGCAGCGGGAGCTTGCTTCGGAGCGGCGGTAGCCCGACCATGAGGCCGGCGCTTCGGCAAGAGCAGCAATTTGTTACTAGAAGAGCGCGGAAGCGCTGAAATGAGGACGCGTGGTCTGACATGGCATGGCGTGGCGGCGCTCCAAAGTGTGGGGGAGGGGAGCTTCTGCGGGCCAGAAAATCAAGGCATCGATAGCGAATGTGTAATCCTTTCCGATGGTTTTTCGGGGGGGATGGCTTTTTTGGTTGATGTTGGGGGCCTAGTTGCAAGGACCGAGAACCATGCCGTGGCATGGCGCTGGAGATACTGACGCCAGCGCTGCAGCGGGAGCACGATTCCGAACGAGCGGTAGCGCGGAAATGAGGCCCGCGCTGCAGCGGGATCCGGAACGAGCGGCAGCCCGAAAATGAAGCCAGCGGTTGTGCGAGAGTGCCGTTCTGAACAACAGCCCAAGCGCAGAAGCGCGGGAATGAGGACGCGTAGCCTGACATAGCATGGCTTGGCGACGCCCCAAAGTGGGGAGGGCTTCTGCGGCCCCGAAAATGAAGGAATCGGCACCGAATATGCAATCACTTCCGCTGGTTTTTCGGGGGGGGGGGGGGGCATTGTCTAGATGTTGGGGCCTAGTTGGAAGGACAGAAAACCATGGCGGTGGAAATAATGACGCCAGCGCTACAGCGGGAGCACGATTCGGAACGAGCGGGAGCGCGGAAATGAGGCCAGCTTTGCAGCGGAAGCACGATTCGGAACGAGAGGTAGCCCGAAAATGAAGCCGGCACTTCAGCGAGAGCAGCATTTTGAAACAAACCAGCGAAAACCCAATTCCCTGGAATCCTGAACGTAAAAACCCATGCGTGCAGGGGGGCCGAACAATCCCCGGACGCCACCAGGTGAGATAGGAGAGTAGCATCAATTGTGGAAGAGGGGGAGGGGGAGCAGGGGAAGGAGAGGAGGGGTAGGAGGGGAGGAGGAGGAGGAGGAGGAGGAAGAGGAGGAGGAGGAGGACCAGTGTAAGCCCAAGAGTCATCAACGATGTTGGAATTCACCCTCCCTCCAAGCTCCGTCTTCATAGGCCCCAACAGCGGCTCACTTCCATTGAGTGAATTGCCTCGTTGGAAGACAACCGTTTGAAGACCCTCAAGCATGCCAGAGCATTGTTCCCATGATTTCAACGCCACGGATCAAGCTGACTGCTGCGTCTGGACGATCCGGAATCGTGCCAGGACGCCATTTTTGGGACTTCAACACCGGGAATCAACATGATTGTTGCGCCCGCATAATCCTGAATCCTTCCAAAGCACCATTTCTGGTACGCTGATCATGGGAATCCGTGAAACTCTTCCAACTGTTTGAAACGACTGTGCGCGGCGCTCAGGCGAAAACCACATTTTGAAAAGGAACCACCCTCAATCGGTGAAGCTCTTGCAAGTTCTTAAAACGAATGTGCGCGACTCTCAGGCGAGAGCCACATTTTGAAAACGGCCCGCCCTCAATCCGTGAAGCTCTTGTAACATGTTAAATTCAATGCGAGCGTCGCCTAGGCGAGAGCCACATGTTGAAAACCCTTGGAAATTGTTAAATCGAATGCGCGCGGCGCTAAGGCGAGAGCCACATGTTGAAAACGACCCGCCCTCAATCCGTGAAGCTCTTGCACATGTAAAAAAAAAACGAATGTGCGCGGCGCTAAGGCGAGAGCCGCATTTTGAAAACCACCCGCACCATTTGTGAAACTGTTGCCACTTTTTGAGCTTCAGAGTCGTAGTTGGTGAGGAAGTCTCAGGCGAAAAGCAGGAGAAGGGGAGGGGAAGGAGGGGGAGGGGAAGGAGGGGGAGGGGAAGGAGGGGGAGGGGAAGGAGGGGGAGCAGGAGAAGGGGAGGAGGGAAAGGGGAGGAGGGCAAGCTAGGTGCGCTCGCGTCATATCTGACGTCCTACCCCTCCTTCTCCCATCCCTTACCATGGCTTCGATATCTTTTCTATTCGCACGGTCGGATGTCGTAGCATGGCATCGCATTGCATGGCACATCATGGTGTTGAAGATCAACGCGTAGCATGACATAGCATGGCGTGGCAACGCCCCAAGATGGGGGGGGCTTCTGCGGCCCACAAAATGAACGAATCGGCATCGCATTTGTAATCATTTCCGATGTTTTTCCCGGGGGGCATTTTCTAGACGTTGGGGCCTAGTTGGAAGGACAGAGAATCATGCCGTGGCATGGTGGCCCTGGAGATCATGGCGCCAGCGCTGCAGCGGGAGCACAATTCGGAACGAGCGGAAGCACGGAAATGAGGCCAGCGCTGCCAGGCTTCCAGAGACCTCCGAGAGGCCAGTGGGAGCACGATTCGGAACGAGCGGAAGCCCGACAATGAGGCCAGCGCTTCAGCGGGAACAGCATTTTCAAACAAAAACAAGCGAGAGCTCAGTTTCCTGGATCTTGTGTGTGTGTGTAAAAACAGCACGCGGAGGAGGACGAATGAATATATTCCGGACGTCATCAGGAGAGAGAGAGAGAGAGGGGAGTAGTATTCATATTGAGTCACTGGAGGGGGAGGAAAGGAGGAGGGGGAGGAGGAGGAGGAGAAGGAGGAGAAGGAGGAGAAGGAGGAGAAGGAGGGTGGAGGAGGCTGAGGAGGAGGAGGCGGAGGAGGAGGAGGGGAGAAGAAGGAGGGTGAAGGAAGGAGGAGGAGGAGGAGGAGCAGGAGGAGGAAGAAGCGGAGGAGGAGGAGGAGGAGGAGGAGGAGGAGGGGGAGGAGGAGGAGGAGGAGGAGGAGGAGGAGGCAATTGGGCTTTGGAACCTTGGAAGAAATTCCTAGCATCCGCCGAACCAACTACTTAGCAGTCTGGTTCCGCGGGTCCATCACTCCTGCCAGCTAGGAGCCGAGCCTCGTCCTCTAGATGCGTCTCTTCACGGCAAAACTCGACCGCCTCACTGCCATCGACAAACCCGTGCAATTTCGCCACTCTGTACATACCAAGGGCCTCGGGGATATCCAACCCATACGACGAGATGGGCTCAGCACTCCGCTCCGAGGCCTCAAAGAAAACTAACCTCCCTCCCCACGAAGCTCGGGCCTCCACCGACGGCTCAGCCAGGTCTCCGAGCTTCGGGGGAGGGGACGCCGTCGAGTTGGGGCGCAGGCCTCTCCTGAGCCTAGGCCGCTGAGCGGCCAGCCGCGCATGCCGTGGTCCCAGGCAGGGCCCAGCTGGACCCTTCCCGGGCCTGTGGCTGTGCCGGGCACCCGCACCGCACGAAGTGCAGAGCAGCACGGGGACCCCTGCCCCATCACCGAAGCCTCCGAAAGCCTCCCAAGTTTGGCAGCTCACTCTCTCGAATCCAGAGCAGCAGGGCGGATCCGGCGGAGAGGCCGAGGAGACAGCAGAGGAGGGCGGAGCCTCGCCGCAGAGGCGCGCGAGGGTGGCCCTCCCGCGCTCGCGGCTCCAGCTGCGCGCAGGACTCGTCGGCAACATCCTGTGGAGCTTGGATCCCTTCCAGGTCGAGCAGGAGGGAGAAGAGGAGGAGGAGGAGGAGGAGGAGGAGGAGGAGGAGTCCTGTGGAACTTGGATCCCTTCCAGGTCGAGCACAGCCTCCGAGGTCCCACCCACCCATTCCGAGTCCCCGAATCCTCTACCACGGCGCCAGCACTGCAGTCTGCCTGGCCACTCGGCTGCGTGCACCACACGCCTCGCGCAACCCTCGGCAACAAGCTCTTGCTCCTCGGCAATGTCTCACAGCTGTGCCCCTCTCCGAGCCCACTCATCGGCCAGGCGATTCCCTCGGAGAATCCACAGATCTTCGAGGGACGACGCTTCCTGCAGAGCTCAGTGTGCCTTCACTTTCACAACAGTGGTTGAGTCACCTTTTTTGAGCCACCAGATGTTCCACATGTGATGGCGACTGTTGTCAGGACAAAGGGCGGTGGACGAGGCGGTGGCGCACGCAACAGAACCAGCACAATGATTGCAGACTTCCAGCGGAACGCGGTCGTCGCCGTCACACGGGGGTACACTAAGTCTGGCCAGCTTGTGAAACGCGTAATTTTCCCCATCCCGCGCCCACTGGTCAGGGCCCTATCCCCGAGGCAGGCAACAAACTGTCCTGCTCTGTTGACTTGCATAGCTGCCCAGCCTGCTCGACGACAAGCTGAGAATTTCGTATGCTAGGCCGATCCGTCAACAAAAATGGGCCCTCCCCATCTCCATCCAGGCATCGGCAGCAAGAGGAGAAGGAGGAGGAGGAGGAGGAGGAGGAGGGGCAGGAGGAGCAGCAAGAGGAGGAGGAGGAGGAGGAGGAGGAGGAGGAGGAGGAGGAGGAGGAGGAGGAGGAGGAGGAGGGAGAGGAGGAGGAAGCGGAGGAGGAGGAGGAGGAGGAGGAGGAGCAAGAGGAGGAGGAGCAGCAGGAGGAGGAGGAGGACGAAGAGGAGGAGGAGGAGGAGGAGGAGGAGGAGGAGGCAGAGCGTTCCGGAGCGCCCTGGAAGGGCGGCGGCGCCCGATGCGTCCTTGAGAGCCGCGGGGCACCGCCGGATTTCAGAGGTCCTCGATTTGTTGGGCGTCGCGTCATGGAGGGGCGATAAATGTCGGCCACGCGCAGAGGGAGGTAGGGGGAGGGGGGAAGGCTTCTTAGCAGGAGGCTGCTTATTAGAAGGCGCCGGCGCCGTTTCAGAAGCAGGGGTGCTTCTAAGAAGCTTTCCCCCCTCCCCCTACCCCCCTCTCCGCGCCGCCCGAATTGGGGGGGCAGCGAGGGCTGCAGAAAAGGGGCCCTTTTAGGGCCCCTGAAGTAAGCGACGCCCAGTTTTGTCCAGGTCCGGCTTTCTCCCCGTCCTGGTTTCGTCTTGCAGGCTGCCCGGCCGACCGCGAGCGGCTTGCAGGCGAAGTTTGCAGACGACGCGGGGTTCGAGCTCTTCTTCGCGGACCTGTCCAAGTTCTTCGCTGGCCTGGAGGGGATGGTCGGGAGCCCCGAAGCCAACCCCGTCCCCGCCATAGAGCGCGAGCATTGTCTCCACGAGGATTCCCACGTGCCGTTCACGACGAGCAACTACGGCGTGACGACCACTTCCGCCGTGGAGTGGGCGTTCGTGTACCTGCATCAGCCCCAGCCGCCAGTCGAGATCGTTCTGCAATCGGGGGACAGGGTGTCGTTGGACCTCCCTGGGGACTGGCCACACGAGAAGCCCGACAAGTGCAAGAACCCACGAGCGCCGCTCACCCCAGAAGATAATCAAACGATGTTCGAAGGGGTGAACGGAGAGCTCCAGAAGATACGCGAGGTGCCCTTGATTTGGGCCGAGTTCTATGCCGCTCGCTTGTATACCGGACCCATGTTCCAGAAGTACAACGCCGTCCTGCGAGGAGGCGCGTTGAACATGCAGCAGCCGACCAAGATGGTGAGCGAGTTCGCCAATTTGTGCTGCTCCAACCGCTATGTGACGACGATCCACGCGATCAGTTCCGCGGTCGTGAAGCTCGGCAAGAGGACACGGACGACGGCGGTCTTCCGGGGCTTCAAGGACGGCAGGTTGCCGGACTCCTTCACCACACCCAACGCGGACGGGGTGTGCGGCGGCATAGAGTGCGGCTTCCTGAGCACCACTACGAACAGGGCCGTGGCCACCAGCTACGCGGGCACTGGAGTGGCCACCGTCCTGCAGATGGAGATGGGAATGGTGGACAGGGGTGCCGACCTGAGCGATCTCTCCCAGTACCCTGGAGAGGCCGAGGTGCTATTCGGGCCCCTGACCAGCCTGCAGGCGATGGCCACCACGGTGCAGGGCTCGACGCTCGTTGTGCACGTGCGCCCCAACATCAACCTCACGAACACGACCATGGACCGTGTTCTGGCGAAGAGGAGGGTGCTGATCGAGGGCATGTGCGAGGGCCTGACGAGAGAATGCCAGCGCTTCCTGAGCGAGGCGAACGGCTTGTGGAGGATGGTGTTGGACGGCTCGCTGTTCCGCTTGTACGAGTCCTTCGAACACGTCAGCCCTGAGATCAGGGAGGCGGCGCTGAGCGCAGCGCAGGTCACGCCACAGGAGGGGAGCCTCGTCCTCTCCACCATCCAGCGTCAGCTCCCGGACATGTTCAGGGCAGTGTACCAGTACCCCGACGAGGAGTTCACCATCGACGACGTCTTCAAGGAGCGCGTGGCCGAGGCCCTGAGGGTGAAGGAGAGCATCCGCCACGCCCGCGGCAGGGTGCTCCAGCGCGCCGCCGGGGAGCTGGAGGGCGCGGGCACCGCCGCAGAGGGAGCGGCTGCGCAGCGGGCCCGCCGCATGGCCCTGGCCCTGGAGCAGGGCGAGCACGTCGGGGCGCAGGTCGAGGTGGCCTTCCCGGAGTGCGAGGACCTCTACTTCCACAGGTGCAAGGGGTCCTACGACGGCTGGCTGGCGGAGCTCGGCCTGCGGTGCCAGGACGGCAGCCTCGCCACGACGGGCTCGGGCCGGCTGCGCGAGCGGCAGGCGGAGATCCGGGAGGGGGCGCGGCTCCAGGTCGTTGCCTCCCCGCGGGGCCACACCGCCCGGAGGAGCGTGAGCACTGCCGGGGAGCTGCTGAAGACGGTCCAGGAGTTCGGAGAGGCCAGCCTCTTCTTCGAGCGCACCAGGACACAGGCAGAGGCGGCATGCGAGCTCAGGGCGCTGCTGAGGTCGAAGGGGCGCCTGCTGCAGCGGGACGCCCTGGGGCGTCTGGTGGTGCGCTTCCTGGGGATCAGCAGGTCGCTCGCGCTGGACCTGCAGCAGGACGTCTGCGGGCACCTGGACAGCTGCGCAGGCGAGGTGATCGGAGCCGCGATTGCGCAGCTCAGCCGCCTGGACGGCATACGCCTGGACAACCAGCAGAGCCTCGGCGACATCGGCTCCGCTGCGCTGGCTCGCGGGCTGCGGCTAGGCGGTCCAGGCCTCAATCTGCGGTGGCTTAGCCTCGCGGGCTGCAACCTCGGGCCCAGCGCTGCGCGGGCGCTGGCCGGCGTGCTGGGGCAGTTGCGCACCCTGGAGGAGCTGAATTTCGACGGCAATCCTGGCCTCGGCGACGGTGGGGGCGCATCGCTCGCCGCCGGGCTGGCCCAGTTGGGCCCCCAGGCGAGGTTGCGGGAGCTGTTCCTCTCGAGCTGCGGCCTGGGCCCAGCTGCGGCGGGCGAGCTGGGGGGGGCCCTGGCGCAGCTCCACTGCCTGGTCGAGCTGCAGCTCCACTCCAACCCAGACATCGGCGACGCTGGCGGCGTGAAGCTGGCTGCTGGGCTGGCGAGCGCGGGCGCCATCAGGAAGCTGGACCTCCAGGACTGCGGCTTCGGCCCCCGCACGGGGGAGGCGCTGGGGCAGGCGTTCAGGCAGCTCCGCAGCCTAGACTGGCTGCGCCTCCACGACAACGTGGGCCTCGGCGACGTCGGCTGCGCGGGCATCGTGGCCGGGCTCGCGGGGCAGTGCGCGCACCTGCGGAGGCTGGGCATGCCGAACTGCGGCATCGGCCCCGGCGCCGCTCGCGAGCTGGGGCGCGTGCTGCGGCAGCTGCGCAGCATGGACTGGCTCCGGATCCACCACAACCCTGGCCTCGGGGACGCAGGAGGGGTGGCTCTCGCCGCCGGGCTGGCGGACCTCGGCTCCGCTGTCGGGGCAGTCCGCTCGCGGGCCGGCACCAAGGACAGCGCGCCACCTCCGCCGGAGCACGGGCAGCGGCCCGACGACGCACCCGGGCCGCGGCGCGACTCGGCGCAGAGACTGCGGAGCTTTGCCCGCATCTCCGGGCGAGGCCTCCACGATTGCGCCGGCCCGGGCGGCGGCGGCGGGCGGTTGCGGATGTTGGACCTCAACAGCTGCGGCCTGGGCCTCGGTTCGGCGCGGGCACTGGCGGACGCGCTGGGGAGGTTGCTCGGCCTCGAGGAGCTGCGCATCCACGACAACCCGGGCTTCGGCGACGCTGGCGGCGTGGCGATTGCTGGCGGCCTCGCAGCGCTCGGTTTGGCCGAGGGGGCCAGCTCGGGCCCCCAGGCATGGCTGTGGCAGCTGAACCTCGGCAACTGCGGCCTGGGCGCCGACGCGGCGGTGGCGTTAGCGAGCGCCCTGTCGCAGTTGCGCGCGCTGCGGCTGCTGGAGGTGCAGGACAACACGGCCCTGGCCGACGGCGGGTGCGCACAGGTGTTGAGCGGCGCGCGCGCCTTCGCCAGCGGTCGCGAGAGCGAGGTCGAGAAGGTGAGGCTCGACGGCTGCGGAGCGGGCGAGGAGGCCCTGGAGATTCTCGGGCAGTTCCCGAAGGTCTATGGTTTCTCCGAAGGGCTTAGGCGACCCGTCCTCCTCCTCCTCCTCCTCCTCCTCCTCCTCCTCCTCATCCTCCTCATCCTCCTGCTCCTCCGCCACCTCCACCTCCTCCCTCCTCCCTCCTCGCTCCTCGCTCCTCGCTCCTCCCTCCTCCTCCTCCTCCTCCTCCTCCTCCTCCTCCTCCTCCTCCTCCTCCTCCTCCTCCTCCTCCTCCCCGGGTCGCCTACGGCCCCGGGGGAAACCGTGCACCCCAAGGTGCTCCAGGAGAAGATACAGTTGTGACCGAGAATCGCTCGACGCCGGCGGCGGGCCGAAAGCCTGTGCTCCAGCTGCGCTGGGCGCCCCGCGATGTCCGGCACCGAGAGGAGGGATCGGCGGCGAAAGCCGCACCCGACCCTCGTCGGCCAGCGATTCAGGCAACCCGATGGCGGGAGGGGGAGGGGGAGGGGGAGGGGGAGGGGGAGGAGGGGGAGGAGGACTCGACTTTTCAGTCCTTGAGCCGAGGTGTTGTACAGCACACATCCTCTGCTCTACTTCACTCTATCATCATTTCACATCGCTACTACGACCCTGTCTCTCTCACATGTCGATGTTCTGGATATTCAGAGTCCGCTTTCACCCTCTTCAATCTAACTTATGTAGTCGGAGCGTGGTGTCACAGACCTTTGGGTATGATATCCATCTTGTTCCAATCATCGTTGTCATTTTCTTCTTCATAGCATGAGAGGAACTCCAGTAAGGAAATCTTGTCATCGTCCAGCTCCAACGATTCGCCAACGTCGTTAGAGCTTACCTCGTAGTTGTTGTCCCTCAAGTCCTGCTCGGTATACGTAGCCGGACGTCGCACTCCCCGTCGTAATCTAATGCTTCTTTCCTTAAGCTCAATCTTCCATTCACCAGTAGTCAAGAAATGCATGTAAATCGGCGAAAGCATCTTCTTGGTCAGCTGATCTGCCAACATCACTGTTGTCGGTAAATGAATGATATTTCTGATCCTCCTTGTCAGTCGATCTTCACGTAGTGCTAAAATACCAACTCGATGGTGTTTATCATTTGGTAGTGACTTGGAGAAACATATGAGCTCGAAGAGGTTCATCGCATCGGTACACACGTCCACTGGAATCAGGTGCTGAGAACGTAGATGAACTTCCAGTAGGTCGCGTGCCGTGGGTGTCTTGCCGAATACTGGAAGGTACTCCAACTCCGTGATCCGTGATGCTATAATGTTTGCCATTGCCGCACAAGAAACCGCAGGGTTCGTCTCTGAATGAGAGGTCGACCATGAAACTCTCTGAGACTTCTTTGAGCTGAGAATCAATGGGCATGCCACTCCACCGAAAATTCGCGCTTCTTCTCCATAGTATTGTTCTTGACTTCCGTGGCGTAGTGCTGCATGGTCCTTTGCCAACAGAACGATGCGCGCTTCCTGTGGATAGCAGGTAGTGCTAGTAATATGGCCGCTGTCCGTCACTTGAACCAGTCGCCGCTGTGGTCCAACATATCTGAAATGAAGTCCATTCATTTCTTGATTAGCCAATGCCTGCTTCAGCACGCTGTTCAACTGCTTGACGTGGATGCCCTTCGGGTTGATCATCTCGGTCTGGAGTTGAACAATCTCTTGAAGGATGTCACCCCTCGTCTTGGTCAGCCATAGCATGCTCATCAGCAATGAGCGAAAAGAGCTGTGATCCTTATCGCAAAGCTCGGCCGTGTCCGCAGTCTTCTCGACCAAGGTGATAGGCTTGAGTCGAATCAGGTACGGCTTCTGGTGCAGGAAGAAGTGTCCCGCTCTGATCTTCTCGTGAACAATCCCACACCATGTGAAAGGTAACGTATGCTGTTTCAGTTTGCCAAACTTTCTCTCAACTTGTTGCTGCACCCAGGAAATCAAACTCTTCATTGCCAATACTAACAAGTCATCAACGTGTAATACAATGATGCAGGCAAGAGTTGTTCCAGTCTCGTCAAACTTGTACAGGAAGTTGTCATCGTGCAGCGACTTGTAGAACTTGAGCTCACTCAAGAGAAAGTGTAGGAAAGCCATCTGAAACAAAATCGGTCCATCCACCAATCCGTACATGGCCTTGTTCAGCAATAGAACGAACAGTGATCGCTCCACGTCCTCAACCGTCGTGAATCCGACCATCCGTAGATGTCGCCATACGTTGGCTGGAGGTTGTAGCCATACTGTCCGAACCTTCTTGCATTCATGTCCAAGTTCCTTGGCCCTCGCCTCGATCTCCTGGAAGCGTAAGCCCTGCAAGAATGCCGTCGAAACGTCGAAAGCTTCGCAATCCCAGTAGTACTGAGCTCCAAGAGTGATGGCCAACCGGTGTGACAATGCTGATGCCGTTGATGAATGTCGATGTACTCCTTTGCGTTGTACGTCCATGAAGCCACGTCCACACATGCGTGATTTGACTTCTGGTGGGTGTCTCGTTTTCCACTTGCGTACCCATACTGCGTCGATCGTGTTGGTGCTGTGTTTTGCCAGGTCCAGGGTAAACACTTCATGGGATACGAAGGATGCTATCTCTTTCCTGTCTCCTTTCTCCACGTGCTCCCAGTGCCTGATGACGTCGTCCTCTGTCAAGAAGTCCTCTTGAGTGACCGAGAAGCATTCGTCTGCAAGAATGTCATACCAAAAGCAAGTCTCCTTCTGCCAGGGCCCTGGAATAACCAGAAACGATTCCTGTGCTGTCCAAGCTGTATTGCCTGCCCTGGCTGAGGTGAGCCAGCTCTGAACTCTGCCGGCGTCTTCTGCCGCATGCGTCATCGGGTCGAAGTCGTCAAATGGAGAGGTGTCCCGCATCTCATTGATCTTGGAAGTTGAGACACAATACTGATACCATGACGGAGGTGCCACCGAAAAGAGAGCTTCTCCTTCAGGATATTCGATGGTCTCATCAGCTGCTCCTTCTGGATATTCAATAGTTTGATCAGCTGCTCCATCTGGATACTCAAGCGTATGGTCCAATGTAGCCTCTGCTGCTGCGTCTGCTGCTTCTGGTGCCGGTACTGGTTCTGATGATTCCGCTGAGCTCGATGGTAAGCTCGGTGATGCTGGTGATGGTCCAGTTCGTGCTCGCTTATCGTCTTGATGATCCATCGGCGTCGGAGGCGAATGCAACAATGGTAGTACTGGCTGTTGATTTTGAGGTTCGCCGCTAGGCTGGCCTGGGTCTGCCACAGGTGACTCAGGATCGAAAAGCTTCTTCTCGGGAGTTTCGTCGATCTCAACCCGCTTTATCTCTGCACGAGTCCTCGACCTGGTACTTGATACGCTTTCAGGTGACTTGAACTTCGGTTCAGCTGAAGCCACTTGAGAATCTTGCTTCTCGATGGTCTGAGGAGGTGCTGGCCATGGAAATGTCGTCGGACGTTCCAAAATCCTTGATCTTGATCTATCCGCTGCTGACGCCGTTGAACTCGATGATGTAGACATTGGAGCTGAATCCATCTGTACTTCTGGCATTGGACTTTCCGAGATCGGTATCTTCGCTGGAGGCGGACTTGGATGTTGAGGAAACTCTGGTGGTAGTCCATAGGCTCGTGATCTTGATCTATCCAGCTCTGGTGAAGCTGCCGCTTTAACCTTCGCTGCTCCAGGTTCCGGCGGATCGTCTGGTGGTCGAACTGGTGACTGTGATACTGCCACATCTTTGAAGGTGGGCGGCGGTGTCAGATGCCGCTCTACTCTTGAACGCGATCTGTCCAGTTCAGGAGACCTGGGTTCCATGATCTTTACTGCTGGAGCCGGAGGAGGTCCAGGTGAAGGTGCAGGAGGCGGAGTCGGTGCCTGCTGCTCCATGCTCTGGTCAGGGCTGTATGTCAATGGTGGTGATGACATCGTGGTGTTATTCAGTCCTGGTCCTGCTGGCGGAATCCGTGACTGCGGGCTTGGAATGTAAATCACACTGTCGTCGTCAAACGGTGCTGGAGTCCATGGAATTGTTGATGGGCTCCACATCGGACTTAAGTCAGGAAGAGCAGTATCATCCCTGAAGTAGTCAGGTGCCGCAATCTGGTAAGCCACCAAGAAGCACTTATCTGAATGACTGCCTCTTGAAGCCAGTGAAACTTTGGTGCCTGGCCTGATATCAGCAATAGTATATTGATTCCGCAGCTGCTGTGTCCACTGCATAAGGCGCCCGTAATCCACATTGATCAGCGGCTCGGTGTGTCTCACGCCGTAACCGAACTGAACTCCATCGATGCTCAAGTTGAGTATGTCTTGAGCTGCCTGACGAGCGTCTGCTAGAATACGAGGAGGTCGCTCCTCCAGGTCCTCGGGTACGTTGATGTACTGCTGCGCCTTCTGGTCCCACTGTCTGCCGTAAGTGTAGACCTGTCCAAGAACATGGTCCTCGACTTGGTCCATAAGTGAGGCGATGAGCTGCTTGCTGGTGTCGCTGGTCGTGGTGCTGATCTGAGAAAGCCACACGAAACCGACATGAGGCCGAACGTGTCGCAGTGGAACCAACATCGGATGGCCACGCCAGATGATGATCGCCTTATTCTCTTTGCTGATACATTTGACCATTTCCGCTGGGCCTCGCCATCCGCTCTGATCCTTGGAGGTTGGTTCCCTCCAGAGATCCACCTTCGCCTCTGGCTCCTCGATCTGTTTGAGTGTCTCCGGCGCATACTGCTGTGGCTTGGTGTTCGCCGCTTCCGCGATGCGGTGCTCTATGACTGCCTGGATGATGGCCTCCTTCGCGTGCAGCCTGAGGCGGATCTGGGACTCGATCGAGTCCGGAAGTCCAGCCTTCGCATCGCTTGTCGCCGAGATCGCCGTGTTGTCGTGATGGTAGAAGTCGCGAGGCTCGTAGCCCAAGAGGGCCTGATTCGGCGTCGAACTCCCATAGACCAGAACCGAGTTGGAGCACAAACTCGCCTCAATTACGCAATCATCCTGGCTCTTACGAATGCCCTGCTTCTGCACCTGCGAGTAGAGCTTGAGAGCCGCGAGCTTGATGAGGCCGAGCCGCCTTTCAGCCAAGCCAGTTCTGGTATGTCCTTCTGATCCTTGAAGGTCGCGTTCGATGTCGTAGGCCTCGCATGCTTTGCCGATGAAGTCGCTAATCACTGCACCTTCCTGGTCGGACACAATAATTTTTGGTGGTCCAAAATAACGTGCCCAACATCTCAGAAAGACTTGGTGCCATGTATCAGCGTCCTTAGTGATCAGATGGTCGCAGCACGCCCAGTGAATAGCTTCGTCCACGAAGATAACGTACATACGACCCCAAAGTGTAAATATATCTGTCTGTACTCGATGATTGAAGTGTGTTGCCAAGATGGTTCCTGCTGATTTCGGCTTTGTCAACGTCCTTCTCCATCCTGCGCAGATCTTGCACTTGGCTATCGTTCCTGGTATTAAATCAATCACATGTTTTGAGAACTTGCCACGTCCCAGGAAG